TATACTTTAGTTTTGGGGCGCCTGGGTGGTGCATTCGGTTAAGCGTCGGACTTCAGCCAGGTCACGATCTCGCGGTCCGTGAGTTCGAGCCCCGCGTCGGGCTCTGGGCTGATGGCTCAGAGCCTGGAGCCTGTTTCCGATTCTGTGTCTCCCTCTCTCTCTGCCCCTCCCCCGTTCATGCTCTGTCTCTCTCTGTCCCAAAAATAAATAAACGTTGAAAAAAAAATTAAAAAAAAAAATAAAGTATACTTTAGTTTTATTTTGCTTAGCAGGGAATTTAGTTCTCCCACCATTCTACTTCTTTAGCTTTTCTCAAAAATCCAATGCTTGCAGAATTTGGGACCATAAAAGACCCAGACTTGATGTCAGTATTTTAGAAGTACCACTAGACTAATGGGTTAAAAAGCTATGAATATGACTAATTTATTTGGCTGCTATTTTGCTATTCATTGTAACTTCTTATTTATTCTACCCAAAAAAATTAGAAGGGAAATTAGCTCCTCTTGGTCTCACTTATTCTCATCTTTCTCCCCTGGTGGCTTTCTCTCTCTCTTTAGTGAGTATAGATGAGATTGGACTATCACTTGATCTTGTTTTCAGTGATTGCTAAGTTTGGTTCTAGCTTTTTTTTTCAGTCTTCTTCCAAAGATAGGATGGGAAGTAGATTTTATGATGGTTGCCCACTATAAAATAAAATAAAATAAAATAAAATAAAATAAAATAAAATAAAATAAAATAAAATAAAATAAAAGTAAAGTAAATCTGACAGGAAATAAAATGAAATAAATAAAATAAAAAATATCCAAGTGGAACTCTTTCTGGAGGCAAATGTCAATTGATCAACCTCAGAAAATAGGAGAAAAAGGCTGTTTATGCATATGTTTCTCAGAGGGGCATGTTAGTTATTTATCTTTTTTATCATTGATAGGTTCTGTCTGGAGGCCGCATCCTAGCTCTGACCAGCGCACAAATCAGTGATACCGGGAGATATACCTGCGTGGCAGTGAATGCTGCTGGGGAGAAACACAGGGACATTGACCTTAGAGTATATGGTGAAATATTTTAATAATTACTTCTGCTCTGATATAGATGTGTTTACTTCCTAAGATCATTGAGGAAGTTAAGGGAAGTTGTTGATAAAGAACTATGAGCAATAGAAATGATTTCACAGTATCAACTCAAATCAAATTCTACCTTTCTGCCTTGTATTTCACTTTGACTGATTTTCCTTTCTTAAAGTTCTGAGAAATTAAGATAAGCATACATCCAGCATGCCGGGTATTGGTTTCACAGAATACTCTGAAGAACAGATGGCTATGGAAAGCAGCTTTGCAATTTGAAAGATAAAATCTCACTAAAGAAAGCATCTGTTCAAGTAGCTCTCTTGATCCATTCTACTCAGCGCCTAGATTTTATTACTTTTAAGTTACAATCAGCATATTTTGTAGCCCGTGCTATGTCTATGAATTAAAGGCTATTTGAAAAGCAAAAGTTAAACTAAGCATAAATTTAGATAAAATTCAAGTTTTTTCTACTTATGATGCAGCCATAAGGCACAAAAGGAAATGTCTAATTCTATCACAGCAAAAGTCCTCCTGCACAAAGTTTGGTCCTAATTGGGCTCCATCCATAAAATGTGCTTTTCATTCCACAATTTAGTTTACCTTTCCATTTAGAGCTGTTTTAGACTTTTTTCAGTGTCTTATTTGAATTATATTCCTTAGTCATGGAATAATGGAATTGTTTCTCTGTGCCCCCTCAAAGAGTATCTGGATTTTTTTTCTATTTTAATTCCAGTATAATTAACGTAGTATTATATTAGTTTCAGGTGTACAATCCTAAGTCCTCCCTCACTTCCAAATAGTTCATTCCTATTCCAAATATATCACTTTTTTTTTTTTACCTTCAAACCATGTGGGTTGACTGCTCTTTATACATTTGCCAAAAGCAAATGTAATGATCACAAATAACTTATAAGTCATAGTTTTTTGATAGAAAAAAAAAAGCCTTGTTACAGAATGGCTAACTTGTATGACAAATTGAGCTGGAAAGTCCCAATTGGCCTTAGTAAACTATGTTCTCTCTTTTCTGTTGCTTCTGCAGTCGACGTGAGTCCACATTCCGCCTCCAGCTTTGCTGGTGCTATGTGTTTGAGATAACAGATATGTCTAAAATGCCCAGGCCCAGGGAATCTACTTCTTCCTTAAATCTAACTGGGTCATTTTTATGTATTATGAAGAATTGGAATGCTGTCAATCTGAAACATCCTTAGAGAGTAATTCATTAATCAATCTAAGTATATGATCCAAAAGCTCCTGCAATCATTAGGAAGCAAGCGGAGGGGTGACAAGAGTATTCTCTGAGTTTTAGTCAGCAGTGAAAATCTGGGAATGGCTCCTTCCATTTCTACATTGGTTAATGTCAAAAGTGCTGGAGAGATAATAGAGAATTGGTACTTTCCAGGAGTCATAAAGACATGCATCACTGTTTTTTACCATTTGCCAAGACATTTCCATGCCACCCTTTTGGTCTGAAAACTGGGACTTTTCCTCTGTTATAAAAGTCAGATGGCTAGCTAATATGTTTGAAAATGTGGACATGTATTCAGCATTTAAAATGTAGATGCAGGGGCACCTGGGTGGCTCAGTCGGTTGAGCGTCCGACTTCGGCTCAGGTCGTGATCTCGCAGTCTGTGAGTTCGAGCCCCGCGTCGGGCTCTATGCTAACAGCTCAGAGCCTGGAGCCTGCTTCCAATTCTGTGTCTCCCTCTCTTTCTGCCCCTCCCCCACTCATGCTCTGTCTCTCTCTCTCTCTCTCTCTCTCTCTCTCTCTCTCTCTCTCCCTCTCTCTGTGTCAAAAATAAACATTAAAAAAAGTGTAAAAAATAATAAAAATTTTAAAACTGTAGATGCATAGCAAGCAAATAAAGAAATAAAGCCAGCAAGAAAGAATAAAACTGAAATTAGTTTCCAATCTGTGCTCCATTCTTAGCATTATCTCTCTATATCGTATTCCTATAGTAGTATATATAGTAGTAACGTTGACAATCTCATGTCTCATTGGAGCCTAATGAAGGTCTATCCCCAGCAGTAAACCCCTTCAGATTTACATTGTAGATTGTGGGGATGATAAGAAGAGTAGACAGTGGGTAAAAGAGCTTTCCCCACTCTTGTAACTACAAGAGTAGTTCATTAAAAAATTTTTCTCTAGTATAAAACCAGAATGGCGCTAAAACAAGAGAATTGGGTTTTTAAATGATTACGATTCCTGTAGTACCTTTTCTTTAAACCTAAGCTCAGAGAACTTTGATAGACATCACTTGTGCTCCAGCACCTGAACAAGTATAACCCTATAGCAGTGCTGATTTTGATAATTAAATGTAACAAGTTTAATGCATAGGATGAGAAACAGACATAATACACCCCTTCCTAAGCAGCACAACCACAAAGCTAAATAGGGATAACATCTAAGGAAGCTGAGGTCTAAAGGGCAGAAGCTTGTTCTCTTCTCAGACTAAACAAAAAGTTGGGAATGAAAAGACAGAAAATATAGATGAGTTTCAGTAATAGATACCCTCGGCTGTAATTAGATTTGCTTTAATTTATGTTCCTTAGGAAACAAATACGCTGTTGTTTTTGCATTTTTCCTCTCAATTAAAAAAAAAATCTGGTTTCTTTTTGAACTTGATCCAACTCATTTAGCTATAAAGAAAAATAATTGGAAGAAAATATTTGGGAATAAATTACCATTCTGCTTTTGTGAATTATTTCTGACTTTTACTTCCACCAGCAGTCATAAAGAATTCACGTTCTTTTGTAAATTCTATAAATACTCTAAGATAAACATATTTTTATATGGTCATGGTACTTTTTTATGCACCGAGACCAGACTTCACCTGAAATGATTTCCAAGCTGTTAAATTGGCTATTTTTTAAAGGGCTGTTTGTGCTAAGACTGATGAGCGCATCTGTTTTCATAATACCTTAGAAAATGGCCAACTGTGCTGCTTTTGCTAATATGATAGCAGTTTTAATCTCAGACTGGTTGTATATCTTTTATCTAATGTGTCACATATTAAAAACAATCCCACTGTTTTCCATTCCCCATAGAATAAGCTTATCGAGAGCCAGATGTCTGTGTGTGCTTGAATTTAGCAAAGGTGCATCGAGAATCTCTGCACAAATGCTCTGTTACTCTATTCCAACCAGTGCATGTGGCATTTCTTTGCATCATGGCATCAGTACCTTTGGGTTTAGCACAGGTCCTGCATCCAGAAATAGTATGAAAAAGTGGCCTTCGTTTATATGCCCTTCCCTCTGTAGGAGACATGGTAGCAAAGAAACCTCCTGGTTGCAGAATTGCAGTGTTACTAGTCAAAACCTATCACATTTGTTGTCGTTTTGCCACATGCCACAGTATCCAGCCCGAGATGATGGCACATGGACTATAGAGTAACGATCCTTACCACAAAAAACTTCAATCAAAGCATTTGTTAAATCCCTTAGGATTCATTTCACTGCAGCTTAACCTTTCTTGTGAAAAAAAAAAAAATACTACAAATATGGTATGTTTCCTACAGTCCTGAATAGTTAGGGGATTTAGTGAGAAATGGCCAAGGAAATTCCTCTGTGTGTTTTTTCAGAGTGACCCCTTTATAATGGGCCTGATTTCATCATTAGTTTGTGTTTTTTTGAAGTATTATAAATACAGGCCTGAAAGAGCCCTCACGAGGTTTTGGAGCCCACCCTCTCCTTCTTGGCAGGGCTGTACCTAAACCATCTGAGACAAATGATTGTTTACTCTATTTTTTAATACACCCAAGGGAAGGAGGTTCCTTAGACTTCTCCAAGAGCACACTGCAGCGTCTGACAAGCTCAATAGCCAGGGGATTCTAATTTTAATCTCATTAAAATTTCAACTCATTTCCTCCTTTTATGTAATTGTATGTTGTACAGCTGGTCACTACTTTCGTTTTGTTCTTTATTGTGTCATTTATCCCACATGGTCTTTATTTTATAGAAAGCTGACAAAGCATCGTGGAAAACCAAAAAGAGCTCTAAACTGCAAGTCAGAAGACTCCTAGCTTTGCCACAAATTAGTTACATAATTTCTTTGTTTGTTCTCCTAATTTTTATTTAAATTCTAAGTCACATTATTTCAAATCAGTCATTGTCTGTCACTCACCTCACGTTTTATATACCGTGAGGTGGGACTGGATGATCTCTTTCAACTCTATCTTTTAATTTTGCCTCTGTGTCTATAAAGTTTATTTTCCTTTGCAAAAAAAGATATAAATAAATATCAAAAGTATATATATGCTTTTAATTATTGCTATTTCCAAAACGTTTCACGAGTGACTTACCACTTTGGAAATCTTAAGCAGGAACATCTAGTTCAAAAAGTTTCTGAAATAGTCAGTTGGGGAGACCTTCCAGTTCTAGAACTTCTTAAAGTGAAAGGTTAGCAAAAAGTATTTCTGTTCAATAGGAACATGGTAATCAGTGATTTATTAATACTTGACTCTGAACCAAATGAAGCAGAGAGTATGCTGGAATTATAGTGATCCTACATCTTAAAAGAACAAATAAAGCTATTCTGTATATGTCCTGATGATTAATAAAGATAAGCAGTGTACTGGCCTGTTTTATCCTGAGGGAAACCCCATCTTTCACTTAGTTCCACCAAATATTATGGGAGAAGAACAGAACATCTCTGTCCTCATTAGTCAAGCCGTGGAGCTGCTATGTCAAAGTGATGCTATCCCCCCACCTACTTTGACTTGGTTAAAGGATGGCCGCCCCTTGCTGAAGAAACCAGGCCTCAGTATCTCTGAAAATGGAAGTGTGTTAAAGGTAAGGCTATGGGTTCATATACTTCTTCTTATAATATTCCTAAGCTCATGGCTTTGGTATTAAAGTTGCCTGTCTAGGGGCACCTGGGTGGCTCAGTCAGTTAAGCGTCCGACTTTGACTCAGGTCATGACCTCACAATTCATGAGTTCAAGCCCCGCGTCGAGCTCTGTACTGACACTCAGAGTCTGGAGCCTGCTTGAGATTCTGTGTCTCCCTATCTCTCTGCCCCTCCCCTGCTCGCATTCTTGTGTCTCTCTCCCTCTCAAAAATAAATAAACATTAAAAATTTTTTTAAAAATTGCCTATCTATAAGTGTTCTACTATTTTCATCTTATAAAATTCTAGCTACCCTTTCTTTTAATGGGGTTTTGTAATATTGTTAAATTTTATGCTTAGTAGGATTTAGATATTTGTCTACCCATATTTGTAGCCAGAAGCCATCCAAAAATGTTTCTAGGGAAATACTGCAGAGATATTCTAATGAGCGCTTCATTTTTAGCCATTCAACCAGTCAGCAAATAAACACTCAATTCTAGGTATTCTGCATAGGACCTGAAAAGGTAGACACATTTCCTACCCTCAGTGTCTTCCAATTTTGCATAAAATATGAAAATTAACCATTCAGTTGAAAATGCAGTAAGATAAGTCTGAGTTAATCACTATTTGGATGGCACAGACAATACATTTTAGGATGATAGCAAAAGGTGAGGCTGTGGTTGCCTGAAGGTCTTGGAAAGCTTTTTGACTTTTTATAGGTAGATGGGACAAAAGGCCTGACTAAGGAAAGCAAATAAGCTAAGTGTGGCTGAAACAGAATTTAACAAAGTGAATATGTGGAAATAATGTTGACAGTGTTGATTTGAGTGAAGTAAGAGCTAACGTGAAAACTAGTTTAAGGAATTAGGATTCAGAAAGTCAATAAGCTATTGGAATGTTTGTTTATAAAGTCTTCATAATAACCTTATTGAGAAATTAAAAGAATGGCTAAGTAATCTGCCACCATTACTAAGTGTCAGAAATGGAATTTGAATACAGGGTGTATAGCTTCAAAACTCATTCTACTAACCACCACACCACACAGCCTCTTGGTAAAGGAAGGTTATCACTGGCAAACAAAGGGAGTCGAGAAATGGATGATGGTGTCAGCACATAGGAAACTGAGAAGCATACACAAGGAGAGCAGAAGCATGGGAAAGAATGGGAAGGAGTGTGAAGTTGTGTCTGAGAGGCAACCCAGTAGAGACGTTAGGAATTATGATCTGTAATAATGGAGCTGGGTGAAAGAGAAGTGAGAATAACTGATAGAGGAAAGTAGGATAGTCCATTGAGCTATATAGCAGGGAGTGGGAGGAAGGCAAAAAAAAACAATGGCCATCCTCAGAGGTAGACCAAAAGCTCTAGAAAGCAACTGGTAGAATTCTCAAACCCCAACTCTGGCCAAATGAGAGAGAAGAAGACAATTGTAGAAACACAAGTCCTAGCACTGGTAGGGGAGAGCTATGTGTCATTAGAAATGTCTTAGCAAATTTCAGAGTATGTAAGTTGATTTCTGCAGAGCACACATATTAATAGGGCTGGAAAGCCAGAACAAAGGAGATGGTGAAGAAATTCTGGCATCTACTGAATCCCTACCACGGAGGCTGACCAAGGTACCCTGAAGGGTGCAGGTCCCATTGAGGGGTGTTGGGAGACAACTTCATGGAAATGAAAACTGCTACAGAACTTAAAAAACTGAATTGATCAGTTAAAACTATCTCACCTGTGCATTACCCAAAACAATTCATGCACATCTTTAACCAGGTAGAGTAATAGATTCTTACTGCTTTAATTTGCCTTGAACACACTAGGCAGTGAATGAATCTTTTTTATTAAGTTTTTATTTTAATTCCAGTATAGTTAACATGCAGTGTTATGTTAGTTTTAGGTGTACAATATAGCGATTCAACAATTCCATACATCACCTAATGTTCATCCCGACAAACGCACCCCTCAATCCCCGTCACCTATTGCACCCATCCCTCCACCTACCTCTCCTCTGGTGACCATCCGTGTATTCTGTACAGTTAAGAATCTATGTCTTGGTTTGTTTCTCTGTCTCTTTTTTTTTTTCCTTTGTTCATTTATTTCTTAAACTCCACATGGAGTGAAATCATATGGTATTTGTCTTTCTCTGACTGGCTTATCTTGTTTAGTGTTATACTCTCTAGCTTCATGCATGTTGTTGAAAATGGCAAGATTCCATTTTTGTTTATGGCTGAATAATATTCTGTTGGATACGTAGAGCACATTTTCTTTATCCATTCATCTATCAATGGACATGGGCTGCTTCCCTAATTTGACTATTATAAATAATGCTGCTGTAAACACAGGGGTGCCGGTATCCCTTTGAATTAGTGTTTTTGTATTTTTTGGGTGGGTACCCAGTAGTGTACCTACCTATTTTTAACTTTTTGAGGAAACTCCATACTGTTTTCTACAGTGGCTGCCCAGTTTGCATTCTCACCAAAAGTGCAAGAGCATTCCTTTTTCTCCACATCCTTGCCAACACTCGTTGGTTTTTGTGTTTTAGATTTTAGCCATTCTGACAGGTGTGAGATAATATCTCATTGTAGTTTGGGTTTGCATTTCCTTGATGATGAATGATGTTGAACATCTCTTCATGTGTCTGTCGGCCATTTGTGTGTCTTGTTTGGGGAAATATCTGTTCATTTTTCATTTTTCATTTTTATTTTTAATTGAATTATTTGTTTGGGGTGTTAAGTTGATAAGTTCTTTATATATTTTGGATACTAAACCTTTATCAGATATGTCATTTCCAAATATGATCTCCCATTCTGTAGGTAGCCTTTTAGTTTTGTTTATTGTTTCCTTTGCTGTGCAGAGCTTTTTATTTTTATGTAGTCCCAATAGGTTATTTTTGCTTTTACCCCTTACCTCAGGAGACATATCTAGAAAAATGTTGCAATGGCCAATGTCAGGGAAATTACTGCCTGTGCTCTCTTCTAGTATTTTTATGGTTTCAGGTCTCACATTTATGTCTTTAATCCATTTTAATTTATTTTTCTGTATGGTGTAAGAAAGTGGTCCAGTTTCATTCTGCTGTCCCGTTTTCCCAGCACCATTTGGCAATCAGTAAATCTTCATCCCTCCTCTCTATGAATTCTTTATGAGATGATTTTAAGGACCTGGAACCCCAGGTTTGCATATGTTTATCAACAATTATGTGACTTTGGGCAATTTATTTTTTTAATCTTTAAATTTCTTTTCAAACATTTTTTTAAGTTTATTTTTAAGACAGAGAGAGTGGAGTGGGGCAGGGGCAGAGAGAGCGGGGGACAGAGGATCTGAAGCAGGCTCTGAACTGACAGCAGAGAGCCCAATGTGGGACTTGAATTCACGAACCATGAGATCAAGACCTGAGCCGAAGGCAGCCGCTCAACCAACTGAGCCACCCAGGCGCACCAAGGCAGTTTAAATCTCCGAAGTGGTCCTCATTTTTCTTAGTAAAATAAGGAGGTTAGATTTTAAGTACTCTTTCAGGTCTAATATTCTTGGGTTCTCCATCTGTGCTTTGATAAATTCCAGCTCTCTTTGTTCACATCAATCCATTAATAAGTGTTATTCAGTGCTTAGTGTGCACCCCTAGTACACGAAATACCTTCAAAGATCAGTCCAACTCTAATGATTCTCTCTTTTGAATGTTTAAGCAATTGATTGCAAACTTATTTAGCAATCAATCACATACTGTCTGTCGTACCTCTTATGTTATCTTGTGTTATGTATTCCTTGTTTATTATTGAACACTTTTTAAAAAATATTCATGTACTTTATATTCTTAACTAGATTGTAAAATCACAAACTATATGTTACACTATACTTCTTGGTATCTTCTAGCTGTAATATCTGGTACAAGGTTCTTAATAACTGCTAAATGGTCAATGAATAAATGATGAAGAGTGTTGATGCATGTTGCAGATAAATATATGGAAAATGTTTACTGATACTCAGTTATCTATCAGGCACCAAACTAGCTGCCAGGAGATTGAGACTAACTGCATATAATGCTTGGCTTAAAGAAGCTTACAGAAGCAGTATGGGGAGAAGACATGTAATAAGTCAAAATAAAGGTGTTATTTTACTGAATGATATCCTAGAAATATACAGATTATCTATTTTAAAGCCTTAAATAACTTACTCAGAAATTAATTGTGACTTGTTGCTATTTTATGTGAACTTTATTTAATTATATGTAAAAGGCCTTTCTAGACCTTCAGCCACTAATATTAATTACATTAAAATAAAGTATGATACATGTAGATAAAAATTATTGAATCTTGATTCAAGTGTTGAAAGTAGGTGATGGGCATGTAGCCATACATATTACTATTCCCTCTCCTTTTCATATGTTTGAAAATATTTAGAGTACACATGAAAAATAAGTCACAAATAACATTAATAGAAAAATTCCAATTACTTATGAAATAGAAACTGAGGTTTCAAAATATGGTTTTGTTTTTAGATTGAAGATGCTCAAGTTCAAGACACTGGTCGTTACACTTGTGAGGCAACAAATGTTGCTGGAAAAACTGAGAAAAACTATAATGTAAACATTTGGGGTAAGTGTGATTATATGTAATTCCTTCAAAATCAATCATAGGTAGACTTCCTGAACCTAAGCATATTGGTTATTAGAACTTTGACATGGGACAATTCTCCTCTCCTGCCTGAGCTTATACCTTTAGTTCTTGCAACCAGGATCTTCTAACGATCGAGCTTTCTCCATGAACTGATGATGGCTGAATCAATTGAAAGAGGTCAGAAGGCCAAATCATGCACATGGATTTTGTGTGTGACAGAGAGAACACCTGTGCTTGCTTGGTGGTGGGATTACTCTGCTGACCAGTGAGAAAAGCTGTCCTCACTTGAAATTCTACCATTTGTTACCAACTAAGATGATTCCTGGGAATTATCACAACTGTACTTGGCTATGACTATCTGCTAATTGTTAAAAAGTGCTCCAATTTCCAGTATATTCATCTTTATTTTATTTACTTGTTTAAATTCACTTATAACGTATCATGCCACATTTCTTTGATTGTATTTGTTTAAACTTTTTAACTGTTGAGATCATGAGCTGAAATTTACCTTTGATTTATAAAAGTTTATTCGAAACCACATTTTTAAAATCCAAATAGGTAGAAGAAGTAATTTGATTCCAGTGGAGAGCACATATCTTTTAAAACTTCAAAACTCTGAATTTATATGTAGAAAATAATTAATTATAAATCATTATCATTGAGGAAGGTTATGAGAAGTGCTATTATTCACCCTGTGAAATGATTAATTTACCTTTAAAGAGTAAAATTTACTAAGTAGTAAATTTATTTACTACATATTAGTTATATATCATTAACATCTATCCCTACCTCCTTCCATCCTGTTTCTTCCTCCATTGCTCCTTCCCTTTCTTTCTCATTTCTTTCAAATGGGAAAAATATTCTTGTAACTCCCAGTCTGGACAAGACACTGAACTAAGTGTTGTCAAGTAAAGAAAGTGTTGTCAAGTGTTGAAAAAAAAAGAGAAAAATTAGAGCTGATGATCAGTTAGAAAGTGAGGTGAGAAATTCATTTTTGCAATGGTATATTGAAGATGTGTATAGAGTGTCCCTGTGAAGCTGTCCTTTGTGCAGTCAGGAATACAGGCCTATAATTTAGGAGAGAGAGAAAAAAGAGTTAAAATGTAAAGGTGGAGACATGAGTATATATGTGGCAGTCAAGATCCCATAGAGAATAAGAAGAATGTGCACAGAAGAACACTGTAGACTCTCACACATACAATATAAAAAAAAAAGAGACAGAAAAAGAAACACAAAGTGAGAAACTGAGAAGGAGCAGTCAAAGAGGTAGGGGAAAACTTGGGTCATGGAAACTGAGGACAATGGTGTTACCAAAAGAAAAACATGGACAACAAACGAGTTGGACATATGGATGGGTAGGTGCATGAATGAATAATGTCACATATTTCAGAGAAATTAGACATGAACTACAAAGTGTAGTTTACAGAAGAGAACAATGCCCCTTTAAAGGAAAGCAATTTGATAGGGGAAAGCAGGGGCGCCTGGGTGGCGCAGTCGGTTAAGCGTCCGACTTCAGCCAGGTCACAATCTCGCGGTCCGTGAGTTCGAGCCCCGCGTCAGGCTCTGGGCTGATGGCTCAGAGCCTGGAGCCTGCTTCCGATTCTGTGACTCCCTCTATCTCTGCCCCTCCCCCCTTCATGCTCTGTCTCTCTCTGTCCCAAAAGTAAATAAATAAACGTTGAAAAAAAAATTTTAATAGGGGAAAGCAGAATGCAGTAAATATAAGAATAAATGATTGAGGGGAGAAAGTTGAGACATCAAGGATAAATTCACTCAAAAAAATATTTATCATGTGCCTCTGTGTTCTAGGCACTATGCCTCATGCAGTCATAGAGAAGTTAATGAGAAAGACAAAGCCACTGGTCACACAGAACATGTAGTCTGCTGCTACATAAATATCTTTAAATAGACATTTAAAATTAAACCTCCTAAGAGATCATAGGAGTATTTGTGGGAAGACATATCAGGGCTCATGACATCTAATTGAGATTTTAAGGATAAGTAGGCATTAGCTCTCTGAAGAGGATGGAAGCATTGCAAAGACCTGGAGAATACTGTCTGTGTTCACTGAGGCAAACATCATTCACTATGGAGCCTGGTATGGAGCTGAGGAGAATGAGAAGATCTTGGGTAGAAAAGGTTAAAAAGGGAAAATTGAAAAGAATGTCTAAAACCAATTTTTAAAGTAGGTATTTGATTCTTAAAGTGATAGGATACCATTTAAAAGGATTTATAGAAGGACTGGGGTATTCAGATCTGTATTTTGGGAATAAAACATATAAACTCTATTAGTATTTAAGAAATTGAATTAACAGAATTAATTTATTACGTGGAGAGGTGTGAAAACAAGAAGAGTAAAGGATGGATGTCACTGTGGGTTGGCCCTCTGAGCCATGTGGACAGTAGTGCCCTTTTCTCAGAGAAGGAAGGTGGCTGAATTCAGTTGTGGGCAAGATGAGTTTGAAAGTGCCTCTGAGGCATCCAGATAGAGATGTTTAGTAGTCCGATACAAAAGTCTAGATCTCAGAGGGGGTCTACATTACAGATACAGATTTGCAAGTATTTATGTCAGTGGAAGCCACAGGAGTAGAGAAGGGTAGCTTTTAGGTTGGAGAGGGTATACTTATAGTAATCTGTGTAATTGTCATTTTCTTCTGTAGAACTTTCTATCTGTGGTATAGGTGATGACAGAGTAAACTATACGATTCATCCAGAGAAAGAGAGTTGTCAAATAGGAAGGGCAATAGTGCAAGGCAGTTGAGAATATTGACAAAGGAGTAGTTGAAATTATTGATCATGAAATCTAAGCTAGATAGAGAAGTCAGTAAATAAGAGGAGGCAGCTGGATTGGGAGGTTCCTGAGAGGTGAAAAGACTTGAGATTCAATTAAGTCAATGAAATGAGAATTGGGAATAATTGAGTGAAAGAGCTACAAGGACGGAGCAGTAGGAGAAACGTAGAAGAGGAACATGAGGGAGAAAGGGATGAGCAAATCAAGGAAGTGACGTCACGGTGGTTTGCCTGGATATACATGTAGATGTTGAGTTCATACAGAGTAATGGCAGATTTCCATGTGAAGAAGGATAGAAACAAGTGTCAAATTCTGCAATGAATAGAAAAACAATGCTTAAGGGTGCCTGGGTGCTCAGTCGGTTAAGCATCTGCCTCCTGATTTCAGCTCAGTCATGAGTTCATGGTCATGAGATTGAGCCCCGCCCGCATTGGGCTCCATGCTCAGCTTAAGATTCTCTCTCCTCCTCCCTCCCATCTTCCCTCGAAAAGAAAAGAAAAAGAATGGTGGGTTCACAGATGATGGTGAGGGAGAAAGAGAAGTAAATTGATGGCATGAGCCTCAAAGGAATAGGCTTTCACTTGGGGGTGGTTGAAGTTGCAACGGTGACTGGAAGCTGGATTGAGGGGTGAGGAGGATTCTCCCACTCCTCAGCTCCCAGGAGCTTGGAAAGCAAGCATCTGTCACCTGATAATACTGCAGCCAGAGAAGGATCTTGAGAGCAGAGTTCAGCCAGCAAATTCTGACTCAGCCTCCTTGAGAGAACCATGGGTATTCAGGGTTCACTTGAAAGGTTCCAAAGAGAAACTAGAGGACAGTGGGGAGGCAGGCTATGCATTCTAGACCAGGTAACATAGCCATTTCTTAGATCCAACCCCTTGTGTCTTCTCTTTACTACAACGTTGTAAGCGTGATATTTTCCAGTTCTCTTCAGCATCTGAGACATCAGAACTGGCTTGGCACAAATGACGGTTAATTTTAAATTTGGTAGGTGCTTTAGATTTTGATGCAAGAAGTCTATTTATCTGTAATACATTTGCTTCTTTTTAGCCGCTCTGGATATTTTGTTAATTAAGTTTCTATCAGTGAAAATGGGAAGTCTGCTAATAGGTATTTAGTCTACATCTTACAGTTGACTTTTAATGTGGTATTGATATGTCAACATCAAGTGCTAATTACTTCCTTGTGTCATTTGAGTGAGAACCTTTTTTTTTAATGTAAAGTATTACAGAAGTTTTATGTTAAGTTAATGTAAAAATTGTCTTTTTTCATCTTTCAGTACCACCAAATATTTATGGTTCTGATGAACTTGCTCAACTTACAGTCATTGAAGGGCATCTCATTAGTTTACTGTGTGAATCAAGTGGTATTCCACCCCCAAATCTCATTTGGAAGAAAAAAGGTCAGTTTTCACCCTTAGCATTTATAAAATTAAATATAAATTTTAAATGAATTTATATTTTATATGACAAACATGTCACTTTATTAACAATTTCCCTGGGGTCTGCATACTAAAATACTAGATAGCAGGATTGCTTTATTTTAAATGTATAGCATGTGATAATTTTAGTATCTAGCTGAAGATCTTTAGTTTTGAATCTGTTCTCCAGAAAAAAAAATAATTTTCTGTATTAGTTGATTGCTTTTTAATCAAACGCATTATAGAGTGGTTCTAATGATCAAGAGTCCAACATTCAAAGAAGTCTTTTTTCTTCTTCAGAATAGCTTTAAAAAATATTTTCTATAACAAGCAACATTGCTGTATTTGTGACAGTTTTGCAATGTTAGGATTGAATTCTGCAGTTGAACAAACTTTCAACTTACTCATCAACAAATATTTATATGTATCCATTACCTATCAGAGAGATCATGTATATTTTTAGTTGACTTTTAAAATCATTTTTGTGGAGCACCTGGGTGGCTCAGTGGATAAGCGTCCAACTTCAGCTCAGGTCATGAGCTCATAGTTCATGGGTTTGAACCCCACATGGGGCTCTGTGCTGACAGCTCAGAGCCTGGAGCCTGCTTCAGATTCTGTATCTCCCTCTCTGTCTGCCCCTCCCTTTCTTGCTCTGTCTCTCTCTGTCTCTCTCTCAAAAATAAATAAACATTCAAAAAATTAAATTAAAATCATTTTTACTGTTTTAATATTTTACTTTATTTTTCTGTTTTCTTTGAAATGCAATATTGATTGAAAGAAAAATTTGCAGAAGATAATCTTGATAAATATCTTCTCCTCTTTCTCTTCCTCATGCTCCTTCTTGTCTTGTTTTTCTTCTCCTCGTTGTCCTTTTCCTTCTTCTGTTTTTCCTCTCCTTCCTTCTCCTCCTCCTTCTTTTTGCATAGGATTGTTTTGCAGTGTCATCTGCCTTTTAGGTACTTGAACTAGGACATAAATAAATATACTTATCAGAGTATATACACAAAATGTTGTATGTTTTTGCTTCATATTCTGCCATTTTGTTTTCTTTTCAGGCTCCCCAGTGCTGGCTGATTCTGCAGGGCGAGTCAGAACTTTATCCGGAGGCAGACAGTTACAGATCTCAATTGCTGAGAAATCTGATGCAGGGCTATATTCATGTGTGGCATCGAATGTTGCTGGAACTGCAAAGAAAGACTACAGTCTGCAAGTTTACAGTAAGTTATTGACTAACCAGACTTTGGCACAATTTTCTTTTAACCTTTCTGTCTTTCATATTTACTTTTTCTTTATATCTTTAAGATACATTCAAGGCAGTGTGATTATAATATAACTATCATGAGACCCACAAATTTAAATTGTGCTGACATAATAAACAAAAAACAATTGCTTACTTCTGTTATTTATTTAGCAATACAGCTGTCCACTCTGCATCAGCTTGCCAATGGCAGACGCATCGATGTGGTTGTATTGTGTTGTGGGCAGGATAGTGGATGTGTGGAATGGGGAGAGATAGCATTGTATCATAGGGTATATTTGCAGTACGTAAAAATACCTTATTTTAAAGATTAACTTATATATGATTTGAATGTTTTAAGTATTTAAATTATCTCATTTAACCTTTACATGAGCTATGATAGGAAGCAAAATTAATGCCTCCATTTAAATGTGTGGAAACCATAGAGGTTTCCATGACTGGCCAAGGTCACACAGCTCGATTGTGGTAGAAGTGGCACTAGAACACAAGGTTACTAACACTGGCCCATTTTTCTTCCCCCCCCCACACACACACATATTTATTAGTAAGGGTCTAATTTTTTTTTCTTAGAATCAGTATCAGGTAAATTTAGCTGCAAAACTACAGAATAACTGGCGATCAGTGGCTTAACCAATTAGAGACTTATTTTCTCATATAATGAGAAGCCCGAGGTTGGCAGTCACTGGGGTTGGTCAGAACCTTAACTCGTATCAGGACAGGAGGGCTAGGATTCTCCTGGCCCTTCCTTTGTGGTATCAACATCATTGCTGCAACTGTGGTATCAAGTCCACATTGAAGGCAAAAATAAAGGTAAGGAGTGATATTTTTTCCTTTCATCAGGAGAGCAAAAGTATTCCAGACCCATTCCCCTCACCCCCTATGCCTACCCAGCCAATCTTTCTTTAGATTTTATAGGCCTGAATTGATTCATGTGACCACCTCAAGTTTTAGCAATAGTCTCAGCTTTTCCAGCTCCCATAGTGGAAGTTAGAAGGAAGAAAGGAATTCATTGTGAGCGAGGCTCCTGTATCTATTTTAATGTTAGTCCTAGGAAGACTTCTGTAAATTAGGGCTATGAATGACAGGTTCAAATGTTTGTGTAACTTGTCAAAAAGCAGGGAAAGTAGCAAACACAGAATTCTTTTTTTACTGTGTTGATAGTTTATTCTAAGCGTGAAACCATTTAGAAACATTGGAGAAGAATTCAACATCTCAATATAGCAATGCTGTCTGTTAGCTTTGGGTCTCTTCTTTAGTAGTTAATATTCGACATCAAAAATGAATTTAACTTTGATAATAATTCCTATGCAAGACTGGAAGCAGACATTTCCTACTTTATTATTTTTTTCTTTTTTCTTTAGTTCGACCAACAATATCTAATAGTGGCAGCCACCCTACTGAAATTATTGTGACTCGAGGGAAGAGTATTTCCTTGGAGTGTGAGGTGCAGGGTATTCCTCAACCAAAAGTGACCTGGATGAAAGATGGCCGCCCCTTGACCAAGGGAAGGGGAATGGAAATATTGGATGAAGGTCATATCCTTCAGCTGAAGAACATTCATATATCTGATACAGGCCGTTATATGTGTGTTGCTGTGAATGTAGCAGGAATGGCTGACAGAAAATACGACTTAAGTGTACATAGTAAGTATAAAGAAGCTCAATAAGTCTATTCACTGGCTCTTATAGTCTATAGCATCCTGGATAGGAGATTTAAACCTTCTGTGTTGAGTCTTTTATTTATAGCCTATGATTTTCTACATATGTACCTCTTTTCTGGATCAGTCCCATCATTTATCCTTCTATACCTGACCTCCCATTTCTTAGCTTGCTGAAACAGGCATATATTGGATATTCTATTAGAAAAGCACATAGTGAAGTAGATATAATTGTCTAATTATCTTCTTCAAGTACTTTTGGTCCAGTGCTATCCCAAGTAATATTCCTTAAGTCTATTTTCCAAATCTGCTGTCTTGGTTTGAACAAGCCTAGGTTCCCTAGAGCTTATGGACTCAGCATCAGTTGTTCATGAGTTTTACCAAAGTCAGCTTTAATATTTTAATTATTGGGTCATGAATGTCAATACGAATACACCAAACATACATGTACTCAGGGACAGTTTTTTGTATGCATATAATTTGAATTGCAATTTTAATTTTTTCTTTGTTTTTTAAATTCAGTTTATTTAAACAAAAATAATTTGCCACCCCACCCCACCCCACCCCCCCCCACACACACACCACACACACACCTTTGACAACCATCAGTCTATTCTCTATATCTATAAACTTGGTTGTATTTATTTGTTTGTTTTTAGATTCCACATCTAAGAGCAATCATACAGAATTCGTCTTTCTCTGTCTGACTTATTTCACTTAGCATAATGCCCTTGAGGTAGTTTTGTTCTTTTTTGATGGCTGAACAATAATCCATTGTATATAAATCCTTTAATTTCTTTATCTATTCATCCATCAATGGACACAGGTTGTTTCCATTGCTTGGCTATGGTAAATAATGCTGCAATGAACATGTGGGGGCATATATTTTTTCAAGATAGTGTTTTCATTTTCTTCATATAAATACCCAGAAGTAAATTGCTGAATCACATGGTGGTTCTATTTTTAATTTTTTAAGGAACTTCAGAAAACCTATTTCTCATCATGGCTGCACCAGTTTACATTCCCACCAACAGTGCACAAGCATTCTCTTTTCTCTTCATCCCCCCTCCTTGTTATTTTTTGTCTTTTTGATAATAGCCTTTCTAACAGGTGTGAGGTGATATTGCATTGTGCTTTTGATTTGTATTCCCTATTGATTAATAATGTTGAGTACCTTTTCATGTACCTATTGGCCATCTGTATGTCTTTTTTTTTTTTTGATGTTTATTTATTTTTGAAGGAGAGAGAGACAGAGCGTGAGGGGGAAGGGGCAGAGAGAGAGGAAGACACAGAATCTGAAGCAGGCTCCAGGTTCTGAACGGTCAGCACAGAGCCCAACACAGGGCTCAAACCCATAAACCACGAGATCATGACCTGAGCCAAAGTCGGAGGCTTAACCGACTGAGCCACTTAGGCGCCCCTGTATGTCTTTTTTTTGGAAAAATGTCTATTCATATACTTTTCCCATTTTTAATTGGATTGTCTGTTTTGGGCTATTGAATTGTATGAGTTCTTTATATATTTTGTGTATTAACACCTTATCATATATATGATTTACAAGTAATTTTTCCTGTTTGGTAGGTTGCCTTTTCATTCTGTTGATTATTCCCTTTGCTGTGCAGAAGCTTTTTACTTTGATGTAGTCCCAATAGTTCATTTCTGCTTTTGTTGCTTTTGTTTTCGGTGTCACATTCAAAAAATCATCTTAATATCCTATGTCAAGGGGCTTACTGCCTATGTTGCCTTCTAGGAGTTTTATGTTTTCATGTCTTGCATTCAAGTCTTTAATTCATTTGAGTTAGTTTTCATGTATGGTGTCAGATAGTGGTCCAATTTCATTAGTTTGCATTTGGCTATCCAATTTTCCTAGCACCATTCATTGAAGAGACTGTCTTTTCCCCATTGGATATTCCTGGCTCCTTTGTCATGAATTAATTGACCATATATGAGTGGGTTTGTTTCTGGGGTCGCTATTCTGTACCACCGATTTTTGTGTCTGTTTTTATGCCAATACCATGCTGTTTTAATTGCTATAGCTTTGTAGAATAGTTTGAAATTAAGTAGCGTGATGCCTCCAGCTTTGTTCTTTCTCAAGATTGCTTTGGCTATTTGGGTTTTTTGTGGTTCCATATAAATTTTCGGATTGTTGATTCTATTTCTGTGGAAAATACCATTGGAATTTTGATAGGGATTGCATTGAATCTGTAGATTAGTTAGTATGGACATTTTGATAATATTAATTCCTCAATCCTTTTATTTGTGCCTTCTTCAATTTCTTTCATTAATGTCTTATAGTCTTCAACATACAGGTCTTTCACTTCCGTGGTTAATTTATTCCTATGTATTTTATTCTTTCTGATACAATTGTAAGTGGGATTGTTTCTTTGTTTCACTCTCTGATACTTAATTATTCATGTATAGAAATGAGATAGATTTTGTGTATTGACTTTGTATCCTGCAACTTTAATTAATTCATTTACTAGTTTTAACAGGTTTTGGATGGAATCTTTAGGAATTGCAATTTTTAAATCTATAGAAACAATGATAAATTTAATAGACACTATCTTATAAGTTGAATCCAATTAGGGCATGCACAACATCCAGTATTAATAACCTGTGGTTTGCAGCCAGTGTATGAGCCAAAGTTAACAGAATCAGAATATAAAAGAAAAGAGGTTTCAATATAAAGCATCTTTTTCTGTTAGATTACTTTTAATTTTTAGGATTAGAATTATTTGTTAGAAAATTCTGCCCATAAGGAGGTCATAAATCCATATTAGAGATTTACCAGACAAGATGAATGACTCAGAAAATCATTCACCACCAAGAGAATAATGGCGTGAAAGTCATTTACTGCTATGAGTGGGGGAAAAGTGACATTTTTTACCTCCAGCAATGTCACACTAAAAATACTGCTGCTACTAATAAGCTCATTGTTGTGGTTGCTTATTTTGCTTACTTTTCACCAGAAAATGGAAGTCTAATTATTAGCCATAGGCTGTTGAGGATTTGGTTTTTGATATATATTAGCTACTTTATTTTCCTTTTCTTGTTTGTTTTATCTTACAGGCCCTCCAAGCATCATAGGGAACCATGGGAAACCTGAAAATATCAGTGTCGTGGAAAAGAACTCAGTGTCCCTGACTTGTGAAGCTTCCGGAATTCCCCTGCCTTCGATTACCTGGCTTAAAGATGGGTGGCCTGTCAGCCTTAGCAGTTCTGTGAGAATTCTCTCAGGTATTAGAAATTTTCATAGCCTGATAATCTGGATGGCTTCATATGGCTACAGTTTCTCCTTAATTTCTCTCTTTTATTTTTTCTTTTTGATCTAATTGCTTACTATATTGCTGGTCATATTAAGAAAAAATATTTAGAAGGACATCAGAAGCTCCATGAAAAGGGGGAAAAATCTGTAAATATCTCTAGATGTTTTTAGAAAAGAAATCACGGCACTTTCTTATTACTTAAATCATGGGGATGTCAGAACATTCATGCTACAGTAAGTACCAATCAATTTGAAAAGTGAGGAATGAAGAGAAATACTGAAAATGAAGCCAGAGTCTAGAATGAATCATATTTTATAACAAATCTCCATAACCAAGTATTTCATTTGAGTGAGTTTTATATTTTCAGGATGGGTTAGTTTTCTATGAGCTAAGACTTTATCATTAATGTAAAAGGGATATTCAGCTTCTCCCTCATCTGATTATGTAAAAAAATCTATTAGTTTGTCCTTTATAAACCAGGGTAAGCATGCAGAGAGGTGTCTCAAGGCCATGCCACAGGAGTCTGTGCTTAGCTCTTTTAGGAATGAGTCTGTGCTTCACTCTTTAGGTCTTACACAGACCAAGAAAACAATGTTGCCAAACTGTGGTTGATAAAGGGCTTGGATACTGAGAAGAATACGTAATATGCTGAAATGAAGGCATCTGAATTCAAACACACCTCACCTTGAAACTTTAGAGTTAAGCCTAACAAAATGGAGTTAAACAAACTTATGCACTTACATTAAAAACATGATGATGGGGGCATCTGGATGAGTCAGTCGGTTGAACTCCCAACTCTTGGTTTCAGCTCAGGTCATGATTTCACAGTTTTGTGAGTTAGAGCCCTGAATCGGGCTCTGAGCTGCTAGCACAGAGCCTCCTTGGGATTCTCCCTCCCTCCCTCTCTCTCTCTTTCTCTCTCTCTCTCTTTTTCTCTGCCCCTCCCCCACTTGTGCTGTCTCTCTGTCTCTCTCTCTCAAAATAAACTTAAACATTTTTTTTAAATGATGAAAATTAGGCTGAAATTTGGCTTCAGAATTTTTCAAGAGCTCTGAATTGTGTTTGTGATTCAGTATACATTAACAGTGTAATGTGGTCATCAAGAAAATAAATCCAGTATTTTGCCACATTAATAAAAGATATTTTCATTAATTAAAAAAAAGAAAGAGACCAATTGTATTCTGGACTTAACTTACTAGGAAGACTGGAAGGACCTATTGATAATATTTTTAAAGAAAGGTAACCATGATAGTACCTTATTGCAAAATAATTTACATTTCTGATTGTATTTAAGGTGGAAAAATAAACCGTATGTAACATTATGGTTACATAGTGAAAATTAAAGACTTGAAGAACCATGGTGCAGAAAAGAATTATGTTGGATGTGTCTAGTTCCAGAGGCTAAAAGTAATGCCAGTTTATGGAAGATTCTAGGGACAGATTTGGGTCTGAATATAAGCAACTTAAAAAATATCTATATTGTTAAAAGTTAAGATGAACTATTCTTAACAGTAAGTGACCTCCTGCCTCTAAATTTGTTCAAAGTTTCAATTCCCACTTTTTCAGATAAGATCCTTTCCTAGTTTTGAATTAGTTCTAAATATCCTAAGGTCCCTCTGTTTTTTTAAGGTGTTGGTCTATAAATGATAGGACCTTGATGAAGAATTTATATTGCTATAATTATTGTATTTATTGCCTATAATACTCACTAAATTTACAATTCCAAAAAAGTTACTTTGTTCACTTCTATTTCTTCACCTATAAAGTGAAGATATTAATAATATTTGCCTCTTAGGGCTTTTGTAAAGTTGAAATGAGTTCATATATGTAAATCAGTTAACACAAGCATCCAATACATGTTCAGTATTGACATAGACAGCCAAGTAAAAGGTTTGGATGTCCCTGTCCTGGGAAATTTTCCTATTTCCTTAACTATATTACTTTCCTCTGCACAGGAGTCCTAGTCTCTATTGATCTTAGGAAATGCATACGAATGACAAAGGCTTTATTACAATTTGGCTACCAAAAACCTGAACACATTATCTTCTTGTCTTGAAATCATCCTCATATTTTTGGCTTCTTTTTTTTTTTAATTCTCAATTGCTGAAAAAGTAGGAACTCTTTTTAAATATAATAGCTACACCAGGGCTCCTGAAATGAAGAGGGCAAGATAGTAGTGATGTACTGCTATCACAAAGAGTGATATGCTCTGGCTTATTCTAGATTTACAGGAGTGGTGTTTTGGTTTTATTTAGTCTTGTTTTGCTTGACAAGCAGCTGGAGATCCCTGAGTGAACACATTAAAAGTATTTGACCTCGTGGCGTTGCCAAAAGAGTCATTCAGTTTTACAGTCTGAACATGTGTATTGTGCAATAGATGAATGAGAATCAGATGAATGGCATATGACTTGCTTGGTCCTTGGTCTGCTGCACACTTCTGTTTCATTAAGATTAGTTCTCCTGAGACTAAGTACAGATTTTCTGAAAGCAATATGTTTGTGAAGGTCATTGTTTTGAAGTTATCTGCCAAGAACAGATAGCTGCTATAAAAATTTAATAGGTACAAGAAACATCTCCATTTAAGTATAACTTACTGTCAGATCTTTTGTTTCTCACTGGATTAAGTGAGAGGACCAGGAAACAAAAGAAAGATCATGAGATTTAGGAGGTTAAGGTTTGCAGAGCTAGAAATAACCCATAAAAGTTGTATTGTGTTAATATCTCTCAGCTGGAATCGTATTATGGTCTCACTAACTTGGCAGTGAGTACCTGAATCCCTGCCGAATTAACACAAGTTTTTTTGACATGTTTACACAATTTCTGTATTTAACTTTCTTTATTTAAAATTCAGTTCAGAAAAAAAAAAAAGATTGAATTCAGGTAATCAACTTTGTCTAAATAAGTTACTACCTAGCTCGCCTTTCAACGGGTTGAAGATAGGAAGGTTGCTTACAGGAAAAGCTCAGTGACATCTTGTGTTTATAAAAACAAAGCAGATGGACTCTCCTGAGAAATCCAGAGCCAGGTGAATATTTACATGAAAATTCCATGTTTAACCATTTCCATTTTTTTAGTTCAAATTCAGAGTACTAAGCAAAAATGTACCAGGTAGAAACGTATTACAAAATCTAAGACATGAGTTACTTTTTTTTTCTTAGACTGTACTTCTCAAATGGTTTCAAGGACTCTCCTCTCAGTGTGCCTTAGTTTTCTTCAAGCTTTGCTTCAGCCCATTTACTGGCTCCTCTTCCTTTGTCCTTCAGGGTGTGACTAGACCCTTCAGCATATCAGAGCCTCCCTCTCAGTCTACAAGCATTTCATAGATGCAGAATCTTTTGTCCCTACATAGAAGTACAAAACATAAAATGTAACAAAAGCAGAGTTGTGCTAGTCAGTCAAGTGACGCCCACAGACTTTGATTGAAATAATTCTAGGACTCCATGATACTTAGGTGAAGACCAGTAGTTGGTCTTCATGGTTTCCCCCATTCCTTATAGAGTGATGTCACCATAGTCTGGGTTACTTGTGTAGTTCTTTTTCTCACATTCCCGTTTCATATGCCCAGTGGCAAACTGGGAATCTTTTCCTAAATGTCCTGTCACAGTTGTCTTTCTAAAGCACAGATCACATCATGACGTTTTTTTGTTTACACACTTCCATAGCTTTTAGTGAGCATGATAAAGTCCCAATTCCATAGCAAAGCATTCAAGGGGCCAAAGTGTCTGGCCCTACTCCAACTAGTCTTATCTCTAAATATTGGCTTCACCTTCTCTGATTCTTTTTTTTTTTTTTTTTTTAGAGAGACAAAGAGGGAGTGAGTGGGGAGGAGGGGCAGAGAGAGAGAGAGAGAGAGAGAGAGAGAGAGAGAGAGAGAGAGAATCTCAAGCCGTCTCCACCCTCAGCTCGGAGCCCAATGCAAGACTCAATCTCATAACCCTTGGATCATGACCTAAGCTGAAATCAAGAGTCGGACACTCAACCTACTGAGTCACCCAGGCTTGCTTCCCTCACCTTTAAGTACCACAACCCACATCTGTTTTCTCCTGTACTACCTCATTCATAGTCTACTTAACAGTGGTTTCTCTCAACTCCTCTATGTGTTAAAGTATACTTGCCTTTTAAGATTATGTTCAAACATCACCTCTCTGAAACTCTGTTTCTTGCCTGCTGTCACCTAGCATTGCATTAATGTTTTTATCCATTCAACCAAAAAATTATTCTGAATTGCCCTTTCTGTTTCATATAGACTTAAAACATGATTTAAAAAAAATACTTGACTTAAATGAATGTTTAAGGCCTTTGAAGCATATTGACTGAATTTTATCTAAATTGAGCATTAGTTGGCCAACTTGTAAAGTTATCGATTTCTTTTTGAGTCATCTGGTGGTTTGCTTCTCTAGGAGGCAGGACTCTGCGGTTGATGCAGACCAGAATAGAAGATGCAGGACAGTATACTTGTGTTGTAAGAAATGCAGCTGGTGAAGAAAGAAGAATCTTTGGGCTTTCAGTATTAGGTATTTTTATAATTTTCAGTTGGCTTAATGCATTCTGTGTGTACATTTAAAATTTATCTACAGCTTGATCTCACATTCATATATTCTTTGGCCCCTGGGCTGATACTTTTGGCAATAATTCAGTGTTAGAATAATTTTGGATGTAATTAGTTGGATTAAAATGCCTGAAATGCCATGTCTTTTCAGTTCACAATTGTTCAACAATATTTGAAGACTCTGATACTTGTTTCATGTGAATATTTATCAGAGTTACAGTGGGAGAAATAAATGTCTAATAAATGTTCTTATCAACTTGTTGGCATTTTTATCCAGACTTTATAACTTATGTTCAATAAAATTCATTATAAGTGAATTCATGGCATATAACTTTATACTATATCTAAAAATTGGAATTGATCAAAATAATGTTATGACATTATTCTAGTAAACAAATAATGAGAATTTGGGGATTTGTTTTAAAGGTTATAGCTTATAAAAATATAAACAAAGATGCTTACAAAATAATAATCCTGCTGTTAGAATAGTTGCTTACTTTTTCTGTTTTTTTCTGCATTTAACTTTTTTTTTTTTTAGTGCCACCTCGCATTGTGGGCGAAAATACATTGGAAGACATGAAGGTCAAAGAGAAACAGAGTGTTACACTGACTTGTGAAGTGACAGGTAAGGGACTTAGCTCTTGTATTCCTGCTGTTCCTCCACTCACTGATTATTTATTGCCTCCACTATGTATCTTAATTAGTTGAGAAAAAAGTCAAACTACTATAATAAGCATTTGAAATTGAATTCTAGTTGAGTAGAGCCAATAGAAGTATAGGAGGAAATTTCTCAGATTCTCTGGAGATGAGAATATTCCAGCGTGCCTGGGTAGCTCAGTCGGTTAAGCATCTGACTCTTGATTTCAGCTCAGGTCATGATCTCACCCTTTGTGAGATCCATCCCTGTATCAGGCTCTGCACTGGCAGCGCGGAGCCTACCTAGGATTCTCTCTCTCCTTCTGTCTGCCCCTCCCCCTCTCAAAATAAATAAATAAACTTTAAAAAAACAAAAGAATACCCCTACACTGAGGAAAGGAAGGAAGAAGGGGTGGGTGGGGGAAAAAAGAAAGACACATAGGTCTTTTCTTTCAATTCAATAAATTATTGTCTTTTTAAAAATTCTGCTTCTGCTTGTATATAGAGAAACAGAAAAGATGTATACAATATACGTATATACATATATACACACACATACATAGATAAAGAAAGTGTGATGTACACACACACACACATACACACACACACACATTTTCTTTATCCATTCACCTGTCAATAGACACTTAAGTTGTTTTCATATTTACCTATTGTGAATAATACTGCAGTAAACGTGGGAGTACAGATATCTTTTTAAGACAGTGGCTTTGGTTTTTTTTAAATATATGCCCAGAAGGAGAATTGCTGGATCATGTGGTATTACTATTTTTAATTTTTTGAGATCTCCATAATGTTTTCCAAAGTGGCTATGCCAATTTACATTCCCACCAACAGTGCACAATTGTTCCCTTTTCTCACATCCTCGTCAATACTTGTTATCTCTTGTCCTTTTGATAACAAGTCATTCTAACAAGTGTGACGTAATATCTCACAGTGGTTTTGACTTGCATTTCCCAATGATTAGTGATGTTGAACATCTTTTCATGCACCTATTTGTCATCTGTATGTCTTCTTTGGAAAAAAATGTCTATTCTGGTCCCTTGCCAATTATTAAATTTTATTATTTGTTATTGTTTGCTATTAAGTTCTTTATATATTCTGGATATTAATCCCTCATCAGATATGTGGTATGCAAATGTTTTCCCCCATTCCATAGGTTGCCTTTTTATTTTGCCAATGATTTCTTTTGCTGGGCAGAAACTTTTTAGTTTAGGACTCCCATGTCATAGACTCTGGGTCTGGAGTTCTCTCTTGTCCAGCAAGAGAGTGGATGCAGGATTGAAATGCCAGAGAGGGTAATGTCCAAGAGGAGACAAGAGCCCTGAATAAGGGTCCTTGCTCTGTTTTTATTAGGATCAGAAATCTTACCAGCGTGATGGGCATGCACAAAGAGACAATGAAACTGTGAACATTAATTCATGGGCGTGGGGGAAAGTGGGTTTGAAGATATGCAGTGTTAGGGGTTTGGGTCAATACAAAATAAAATTCTGGTGCTGGGTGGAAGGTTGTTTACAGCAGATGTGACTTTCTGCTATTGTACTAAATTGGAGGGTGTTTCTGCCCTGAAACCTAATCTTGTTTACCTCATCTTGGATGTTTTCATCCTGAGATTTCCTGTTCCTATACCTTTGTCCTATTCTGAGGGCCTTTGCCCTGTTTACCTAATCTTGTTTACCCAAACTTGGGTGTGTTCATCTTGTGGCTTTCTAATTCTTTATGCCTTGTTAACCCATCAGGGCAAGCTCAGGAAATTCCTAAGCTTATTCCCTACAGTTCCCCCTTTTTTTGTTTTTCTTGGTTCTTCTAGTTTAGTGTTTGAGGACCATCATAATGAGCTCCTGGTCCTTTTGCTTTTGGATGGTTTGGAGGGTGATTCTGCAAATACGTAAAAAGAGACACAGTAAAAGCATACCACTTCCCAGAGTTACCCACAGTTTAAGATGAGTGCTGGCTGTAAGTGAGAAAGGATTTAGGTCACGCCACATTGCCCAGGAATCAGCCCACTCATTTTTAAGTTAGTCTTCTGCATATTGTAGCTGTTGATACAAGTCATATCTAAGTTTCTATATTGTTAGAGAGGTAGGGAGAAAAAACACTGTGAAGGTGTGTCTGGACAGCATCCCAAGCTTGGGAGTGATTATAAGGTATGCCAGTCATGCAAATATGCTGGTAGTTAGAGTCGCAGGACAGTTTAGAGTGAAGGAACAAGGCCTCCTGTCTTTTTCCAATAAATTCCACTGCAGCCTCAAGAGCTTTGAGGCAGGCCAAAACTTGTCTATCAATAGAAGTTTGACTTATAAATTCTTTGGTAGTGTTGACCATAAACTTATTAAGGACATGGGCTGTTTGGATAGTATGATGCAGGAGATTCCAATAACAGTGGCAGAGACCATAGCGCCTACTGCTGCTAGGATGCCCATGATTAACAGGCCAACAAATCTTTTTTGCCTTACGAGTGTTGAACAAACTTGGAAAGTGTGCCTAGTCCTGATGGATGCATATAGGGCTCAGAGCTATTACAGGAACCCAGGCCGAGATGCGCTAAGTACTGATAAAGAGGAGATATTTAATTGGGTAATGTTATAATTATTTATGCAGGACATAAACCAGCCCTGGGAGGTAGAGATATTGTAATTATTTTCTAGTTGTTTGATCTGTAAAGTGGAGGTAGCAAAGAGAACATAGGGAGAAGGGACGCAAGTAGTGGTCCATGCAAATTGATGGTTGTTCAAGGAAGCCCAAGTTATGTTAATATGTCGATTTACGTAAATTTCACCATGGCTAACAGTACAAGTGAAGAAGGGAAGGCCTAGCTTACAAAGATTAACAAACCGGTCCTTTTAATTTCTCTTTATGTGCATTAATTAAAGGGCCTGCCAAGCTCTGTCTTTCCAGAAAATATTGTCCCTACTAGACTGGTCATAGGATATGGTCTTATTTGAATATTTTGTTTCAAGGTGTCCTCTAGGACCCCTTCAATAATAGTCCAATTGCCCCAGCGAAGATTATGCTCACTCTCCATAACAGGTTGTCCAAGGAATATTATTCCAGGGGTGGTCTGAATATTTGAGACTAGAGCAAGCTATAACATTAGGAGTGTGAGATATGTTTGTTTTTTGAGGTAAATCAAAGCTTGTGGCTGACAAAAAGGTAAAATTCTCTGGCCTTGTAGAGGTTTTGGGCTGTACACATAAAAGCCAGTTAATTTTTAGTTTGTGACAAACAGATAAATTGCTAAATTTAGTAACACACACAGGAGGTGCTGGAAGAAGCCACCATTGAGGTCTTGGCATATAAAGCCAATACTCTTGTTCAGTTTGGAAGGGCCGGTTAAGATTGGCTCCTTCCATGAACTCTGCCATTATTGCTAATAGAAATATCCCAGGCTAGGAGTGTTAAGCTATCAAATATAGGTAGGTTAAGGAGGTGAGCCCAATATGAATATTGAGCTCGGCCTGGACAAATGAGGGCAAGGAGAAGAATCAGGGTTACATATATCAAATTCTTGTTAATGATGGAGATCATGGCCATCAGATGCGAATTAGGGGCATATGCAATATCATTGTGTTGTAAGAGGATGACAGCCTGGTTAGACAGGCGTTTAAGGCTTCCCCATGTTATATCAGGGGCAAAAACTTGTGTTTGTGGCTTCAGGATGAGGAGTCCATGAAGAGGCTTCTTCCATCTTGAAAAAGGGGGGCAGTGGTTGCTCATTCAGAGTCATTCTCTGGATGTCCTAGTTCACTGGAAGATATCCTGGGGGTCTCCACTATGGCATGGTACAGCTTCACCAACCAAGAGGGAATCCACAGAGGTCCAGAATCTGAAAGAACACAAGCATATCCTCGACCCCAGGTGAGAAGTTCAGTGGGCCCAGTCCGTGTGAGCCCCCTTTGGGGATTTTAGATAGCACCACCATAGGGTGAGAGGGTTTATCTGATTTTGAAGAATGTCATTCAGCTGCAGTTAGTACTTGAGGATTAAGATTTTAAAAGTTAAGAGTAATCATAGCACTATCAAGAAGGAGCTGAGGTTATAATGCAGACAGCCAGGGGTATCTCCCCCCTTTTTGTTTGTTTGTTTGTTCTTTTACATATTTTTGAGCATATTATGTGTTCATTTTATAATTGCTTGGCCTTGTGGATTATAAAGAATGGGTAATTCCAACCAAGGCTTAAGTAAAAAAAATTAAAAGGGTGTGTTGTCCTGTTGTTTTACCCTTTTTGTTAAAATTATATTTATTTAGGGGCGCCTGGGTGGCACAGTCGGTTAAGCGTCCGACTTCAGCCAGGTCACGATCTCGCGGTCCGTGAGTTCGAGCCCCGCGTCGGGCTCTGGGCTGATGGCTCAGAGCCTGGAGCCTGTTTCTGATTCTGTGTCTCCCTCTCTCTCTCTGCCCCTCCCCCGTTCATACTCTGTCTCTCTCTGTCCCAAAAATAAATAAACGTTGGGAAAAAAAATTTAAAAAAAAATTATATTTATTTATATACTTACTTATTTTACTTATTACCATTAACAAAAATGTATTTTCGTTTTTTAGATCCTACATATCTCTTACTTTTTTATATATGAAGTTACTTATTTCCATTAGCCTTAATTACATATAGCAGAATTTTAACTCTTAGAAACCTTAGTCTCCAGTGAAAACTAGGTAGTAACCAATTGTGAACTGTTATATCAGAAATTTTTTAGGTGGCAGACTTATGAATCCATTAGGCATATAGTATGTTTTTTTAATGGATTTAAATATTCTTAGTTTGGGTTTTTTTTTTTTTTTTGCCATAAGACATCAGAAGCATAAACCTATGTTTAGTAAGCAATGCTTCAGCAGTCCATTTGATTTGGAAGAACCCTAAATGTCTGATGAACTTAATTTGATTTAACATTTAAGCAAAATGTTCAAGTTTTAGGTTACCAAAGACCCTGAAAGCTATTTTAACAATTACTCATGAAAACTATGAGACAAAGTTA